TATGTCGTAGTATGGGCATAAACAACTAATATGACAGCAACAAACGACAACCACTGAAATTAAGGTTACGGACTTTGGACTGGTTGTGTCGAGTTCAAACATGATTGCGAGTTCTGAGCACCTCCTTTAACATTAGACTGTGGAATAATCCACCAAGATATAGGAGTAGGTGGAAAGGGTATTGGGAGACAGGGAGAAAGGGGGCGGGAGAAAGGAGAAAGGGGGCGGGTGAAAGGAGAGAGGGGGCGGGAGAAAGGAGAGAAAGGGCGGGAGAAAGGAGGGAGAACTATCAAAGGGAGACGAACTTTAATGTTGAAAAAAAAATAAAGAGGTAAAAAAACGAAAAAACTGGATACTAAATGTTCTAATTAATGGACAAATCTTTGAAGAAAGTCAACATTTATATTTCCCAAACCATTTTTGCCATTTTCGATCATTGATCATCATTTCTAGAAATCATCCTTTCAAAACGGTATGTCTATGGGTAGAGATGGCATAGGTTTAAAACCAGAACTAAGCTTTGATCCAATTAGGAAAGTTCTTGTGGGTGCAAAATTTGATATAGATGCTAATTATGTCAAGAACAATCCTCATCCAGATGAAGCAGGTATAAAAACACAAAAGATTCTATGATTAAAGATGCTGACACTCTGGTTTTAACTGACTTCACAAATTCAGTAAGTCTTCCAGTCGGACTTGACTATTCACAATATATACAGAGTAGTGACTATGTTAAAAATCCGGTAGAAAAGAGGGTACAAGAAGCACAAATATGTTCTTGGTGTCTCGAACTGAAAAAAGAAAGGGGGAAAGTTGTTGGAGATGTCAGTATTTGTTGTAATCGAAGTTGCAAAGCATGCAGTGAGCTGGGACAGGTCTGTAATCAGTGTGAAATAAATGGCCAGATTTCTATACTTCCGCAATTACGAGCATGTGAGAGATGTATCGAGTACAATATCAAGTGTAATAGAATGGCCGTGATGGTTGTTATTCACGATTGTGAACAGAAAAACAAAACCGCAATGGAAAAAATAATTGATGCCAAATTGAGGGTCGACAAATTCCAGAATTAAGTCTAACTGGTGTAGGTCTGGATGCGGTCCATATTGGAAAATGTCTAGCAGGTCGTTTGTCAAACTGGTGGCTCTTAGTTGACAATTACCGAATAAATTTGATCATTCTTCGAATGTTAAGACAAACACAGACAATAATGGGTAAAGGATCGACAGGCAACTGCTGCAATTGCCGAAATAAGTTCAGAAAAAGTCCTTGACTGTCTACACAATTCAGATAATGACGTGGTCGTTTGCACTGTCGTTCCGGAAAAGTACAGAAAATGCGATGACAATCATCCAAGCATTTTAAAGGAACCAGTAGACATATGTCTTTCTGATGATCCGTCCGTATTGTACGTTGCTGATCGGGTAGGAGTTATATATTCAGTTAGACCCACTATCCAGCAGAGGTCAAACAGTTGGCAAAAGGTCTGAGCACACCCAGTTCGATTATGAATTTAGATGAGATCCTGTTCGTGTGTGAAAGTGGCAAAAACAAAATAGTCTACATAGACCATAAAGATACTCTGAAATTGGACATATCTAAATCAACCAAAATAAATCTGTGTGAATATGCCACGTTTTTGGAGATAACAGAACCCGAAAAAAGTAATCTGAAAACCCTCAGACAAATTATCAACAGGAGAATAGAGGCGGCAGGTCTTCCAAGAGGCACAAAAGACACAGTCAGGTTCTTGACATTGGCATTGACGCTGTTGTACCTACTAAACTAGTTAAAGTTGACAAAGATTTGTTCTTTGTAGCAGATCAGAAAACAAAGTTAATCTTGCAGGTTTCTGTGAAACGAAAAGTTGCTGCCTATGGCTATGACCTTTTTGGAACAAGTTTATACTCGATTAGTGTTCCAGATATGAGTGGATATTTGGGATTAGCCTACTGTTCAAACTATCTGTACTTAGCCGATCATACAGCTGGTATTCTGCGCCTAGAATTGGATTCAAACACAGTCTCTGTGATTCTGAAAACTGGTACCAAAATCTGCAACCAACCACATGGAATTGCCATAGTTGGAACTGAATTAATATACTCTGACGTTGGGAAAAGAGCATTATACAAGATTAAAGACATTGAAAATGTATCACTTAACCAACCTGATGTTGTTTTGTTCGCTGGGAAAGGAGAGGAAGGAAATGAGGATGGTCTTGGTAAAGATTGCCAATTTCGCAACCATCAGGAATATGTACTGAAGGCAACACTCTGTTTGTTATAGACTCTGGATCGAAAAATATCAGACTTGTAACGTCTTTGTCACCAATGCACAAATATCTGTCAGTACTCCAGTACAAGTCATTTTCTGTGCATACCGAAATATTGGGAAGTGGTCATAGCGATGATATCAGGATGTCAATTTCTAAGTTGAAAGACGTTGAAAGTTTCTTTGAAAACTGCACATCTGAGGTCAAGACACTTTTACATTTGAAAATTAACTGCTTGCAAGGACCTCATGGCGTACCAGCCTCTAAAACAATACAGTCAGTTCATATGCTTCGAACAATGTTGGAGTCTCTTTCCCAGCAAATTACTGGTATAGAATCAAAATACTTGGAGAGATTTGATATTAATTCAGCTCTTACAATAGTTAATGAACAATTGCACAGTATGTTGCGGTTAAAAACAGAAAAACCATCAGTTCGTGACTGTGTAAGGGATTTTCTCAGAGGTCTTGTTGAGTGTGTTAAGAGAGTATCGCTTTGTGGATATCATTATTTCACATCAAAGAAAACGTCAGGGTATGAGAGTCCAAAATAGTATCTATCCCTTGAAAAGTTTCCAAAGTTTCAACGTGACAAGCCGTCCAGTGTCTCTAAAGAAGACGTGAAACTATTAAAATTAAGAATGGAAATGGGGAATGTGTCAAAGAGATAACAACCCGACCATAGAACAGACAACAGCCGAAGGCCGCCAATGTTTGAATATAGGGAGAGATATGGAAAAGGAGTACGACATCGAAGCGTAAGAGCCGATATAACGAAGTTTGATGCAGGTACGCTGCCTCTCAACATGTACCAAAACAATATCCCACCTAAATATGCATCGATAGATCTGTCTGTTACCGACATTAGAATCAACGAAACAGCTGAAAACCGTCACTTACAGAACCACGCACAATTGATCAATTGCAAAGTTCAAATGAACCCGCCGGACCAGTGTTAGACTCTATTTATGATGAAAATGATTTGGTGGCGGTCATGTTGGATGACCAGTTGTCTCTCGGAAGTCTCACTGAACGTGTTTTTGAAACTGACAAAGTGTGCAAAGCGATTCTGTATAAAGAGAATGATGGCCTTGAATTTCATAAAGACATGCAAAGAGATATACCACCTAATTGTATATTAGAAAGTGTAATACCCCCTTTGTTACCTGGTCAGGTTGTATATACATTAGTTGAGGAGATTTACAATAGGCTGACCAGCTCTCTTCAGACTGATACAATGACGATCAATGAAAAGTTAGCGAGACGTTTGAGGAAAAGGAAATTGTACTGACTGTACTGAGCTGTGAAAGGACGAGACGTGGGAGAACTGTTAAAAAACCAAGACACTTGACGGATCTCTATTAATTCTGTACATATTATATTATATTTTATAGCAAAACTTAGACAAATATTTAAGGCCAGATATATGTACACAGGTTCATTATTTTTCTTGTCTTATGCCTTCACATGTGGGTATCTGTTTCCTCTAAGTATTTGGCGATCTTCTACAAATTTAAAAAGAAGGGATGCTGACAATGTCAGAGAGATACACTCCATCCTCTAGACAATATAACATGTACTTAACGCGTTTTCCAGGTCACCTTAAAATATTTACGTTATCCACTTGACCATACAAAGTAAGGTGTTCTCGAGGACAGGGAAAAATAGAGATGACACAATAAAAAACTATGTCTAATTTCATGATCCTCATACATGACCATACATATCAAAAATGAGTTTCTTGACATGGGGGATGCACAATGCACCATTGACAACATTCCAACAATGTGTATTAATTTGCGTACGAGTCGGAGGCAGGCCTTGTTCGTAAAATCATTATATGCTTTAATAAAGACATATGCCACCTATATATGGTCATATATTAATTCAAATTTGTATTAAAATCGATTGATCTGAACAAAGACGGTTGTTAAGGTGGGAGATGGAAGCAGAGGGGAGGGAGAAAGGAGAGAAGGGACGGGAGAAAGGAGAAAGGTACCCCCTTTCCACCCCTCATATAGAGATAAACTGTTCAAATACGTTGGAAATTGCGTTTCTCATCAGAATGGTACGATGCACAAACTTTGTTCCTCTTATCGATATTTTGAGTTAAGCTAATTGCAATTGATGTTTACAGTTTGATTTTAAGTGGGCAGACACATTACCATCCCATGTTAGGGGAGGGATGACCCCCACCACATTCTATATGTGCCTGTCCCAAGTTGGGAGCCTGTAGTACAGTCGTTGATTGACGTCTGTCATTTTTATATATTTTTTTGTAAATTGTTTTGTAAGAACGTTAGTTTTCTCAATTGATTTTTCACATTTTTCCTGTTAATGTAAACAAGTTTGCCTGAAGGAGTTGAAACCTTATCGAGTTTAATTTAACTATTGAGTTCAGGCAAAGCGCTTGAAGGTTCACTAGGATATAAAACGTATCAGACAAACTTCAACAATTTATCATACTAATTTTACCCTATACAGTTAATCTTATACATGTAGTTGAAAAAACTTGTATATTACTGTACTTGGGTTTTACTTTTATCTGAATAACAAATAATTATGGTTTATTGATATATTTTAATCGTTTACACTATAAATATTAGATATTTGTTCAGTCGTTATTGCTTATTTCTAATCATATGTTATCTATAAAACGGAAAATGAAACAATAACAATTAAAAAATACACGTATATACATATGGCCGTTAAGTACCATCTATTTTTACCTGTCACGTGTTGACATTCGTAGATCTTCCTGTTTGCCAACATGGATACATGATACATTGTTAATCCGTTTCAAATGACTAGTCAAGGAAACTTTTATCAATCAGTTTATAGACAATGTTAAGCAGCTGTTGCCTGTTTGAAATAAACATTTGTTTTAATAGATATGATATACAGTTAGTGATAAAGTTTTCAATTAAATAAAGGGAAAATGTATGGACTGCATAGGGAAGGATTGCTATAATTCAAAATGTCACCGCGTGATCACAATTTATGCAACCGTATGCCTCTTTAGAAAATATTATGATGGAAAAGCTTTCAAAGTGAAAGATTTTAAAGATATTCTTTTGTAACGAAGAGTCTAACCTGTGATATTGATCTATAATATGTTAAGAGCCTTAAACCTTGAAAGACAAGAAAATGTTCGACCAGCCTTTAATTTTACTTTCCTTTATAAAGATGTCATGATTTGTTTGAGGTATATCAAACAAAAAGATACTTTTTTAAGAAAAGAACGTCAGTTGTGTTGTATGTCTGTGACGTATGTTAACACAGTATTTGCTGCTGGATTCTTAGACCTAATTATTGTTACATTTTTCAGTTGTGTTTGTTTGGGTTGCTCAATCAATTTTGTCAATATAACGGAACTATAAACAACTGACATATAAGTAGGAGGTTAAGTTAGCTATAAAACAAGGTTTAACCCACCATTTTTCCGGAAAATTCCTGTACATAGTCAAAATTGTCAAAACACGATGATTTTGTGCATTTTTCGGACCTAACAGCTTGAGGAAACCATTGGCCGCAACCTACGATCCTAAATGTTGAAAATGTGAAATTTGAAGTATTTTAGCCTGGCTTGAAAAACATCTTAATCTTAGGGCCAATTTTAATCCTTCGTGAACTTACTCATCATAGCTTGCGTACGCTGTCACGACTTGGTGAAAAGGGGACATTAAATACAATACCTTAAATAGATAGAAAATCTGGACAAAATGTCGGCTCGTTTTTCGATTATGCAGAACATACCTAATGCATATCCCGAGGGCATCATTAACTTGGTAGCTTTATGCATGATGAAAACAAATAATACAAAGAACAAACCGGCTGGGACGTCGCCCGGGTTACAAAGGTCCTCTTTTGCTGCACGGAACACTGTAGCATTTGATTTGTGTGTTCCACCGGGATACCCTTGATTTGACGTATGTTCAGCCAGAAGGTAATTACTATTTTAAAAATTCAGATACTTTTCATAATTTAAAGCCATGTTGCGTTAATATTTTAGACTGTTTAAAGACACCTGCTACAAGTGAATCAACACCTTTCATTTCATCTTGTAAACATAAAAAAGGAAGAAGGAGCACGTGTAAGACATGTAATATGTTAATCACGATAGCCCTGTACTCAGTACTCCTTTCCGAAAAGATAGAGAAAATTTCTGGATAAGGGAATTAGGTATATACTGCAATGCCATATGGTTGCAATGATAATGTCAAAGGAGTAGGAAATTTGTCAAGTCCAGCCTTCAGTGATGTTAATGTAATGAGTCTATTTAATACTACCTTACGACAATAACGTAGTCATGGGCAAAAACATTACCATCGGCCTAATGTAAAAAAGTCTTCCAAATCTAGATCGCCCTCTGGGAGCTTTGATGACCTTCTTTCACATCTTCATCATTCGCTAGCTAGGGTTACATTACATTAGAACTATTCTTTTTTTCACTGCCTGTTCATTTTCTTAAATGTTTGAGAGATTATGCTCTTGACAAGGGATGCATCAATACATTTTCTCCAATATACAGATTTGTCAGTATAATTTGTGATGTAACTCTTTTCCGTCTTTTCAAACCAATAAGATCGGAACCTTTACATGAAGAAAAGAGGAAATCTCCTTCCTGTTCACTTTACCAATAGAGGAATTGATGCAATCAACATCTGCAACGTTCTACATCACAAGAAGGTAACATCTAAAATTCCTTTTTATTTTCAAAATCTGTCTGTTCCTATTGTATCCTACAGTTACACCAAAACCATTGCACCCAAAGTATTTAACTATAAACAAGCATTGCAGGACCTTGATTTAGAACAATACCTAAAAACCCTCTGACATGTGACTGTTCCCACTCGCCTTTTAATTACAGCCCCTCTGGTCATGTTATTACTGGGGATCTAATAAAATTGAGAATGGAAATGGGGAATGTGTCAAAGAGACAACAACCCGACCATAGAACAGACAACAGCAGATGGTCACCAACAGGTCTTCAATGCAGCGAGAAATTCCCGCACCCGGACATATTTCAACATGAAAATCTCCGAAAGGTGATTTCTCATGGTCCTAAGTTTAGAGAACCCCAACATATCAATTGGAACCATAACTTCAAAATAATTATGAATTCCATTGAGGACTACGCAAGAGCATGGGCTAAACGAGAAGAAGTTGAACTGGACACTTTGTCAGAATGGGTCAAAACAATCAGATCTCTACGGAGTCCTGTTGGTCTCACACAGATTATAAAGTGTCTTTTAAAGTCCTGCGCTGAAGATGTGTAAAGTCTAGCGCTGGAGATGTAAAGTCAAGCGCTAGAGATGTAAAGTCTAGCGCTGGAGATGAAAAGTCCTGCGCTGAAGATGTAAAGTCTAGCGCTGGAGGTGTAAAGTCCAGCACTGGAGATCTAAAGTCTAGCGCTGGAGATGTAAAGTCAAGCGCTGAAGATGTAAAGTCTAGCGCTGGGGATGTAAAGTCCAGCGCTGGAGATGTAAAGTCCAGCGCTGAAGATGTAAAGTCTAGCGCTGAAGATATAAAGTGTAGCACTGAAGAAGTAAAGTCAAGCGCTGGAGATGTAAAGTCTATCGCTAGAAATGTAAAATCGTGTTTTATAGCGTGTTGCAAATAAGGATGCAAGAAAGGGATCAATTTATTTTTGTGTATTTTCACCTTGGACTTAATTACAAGGAACTATTACAAATCCTTAATGAAAAACACAGGATTGGCATTTCTTTGTGTCACCTAAAAAGGCTGTTGTCTAGCTTTGGATTATACAGAAGGAAAAATTACTCTGATCTACTAGACGTAGCCATGTTTATTCATGAACAAGTACAAGAGTCCGGACAGCTGAATGGATACCGCTGGATGCACCTAAAATGTTTGCACAGTGGACTGACCGTAAGAAAAGAAACAGTGCGACTTTTAATGCGTGCTTTAAATCCTGGTAGTGTTAATAACAGATTGAAGCGAAAACTTAAGAGACGGGAATATAATGGTCAAGGGCCAAACTTTATATGGCATCTAGATTCTTACGATAAACTGAAGCCTTTCGGATTTTGCATTAATGGATGCATTGACGGTTACTCCAGATTTATTGTATGGCTATATGTTAACAGAACAAGAAGCGACCCTCGGGTAATTGCCGGATATTATATAAAAGCTGTTATAAGAAATATGGCGTACCGTTGAGAATGCGCGGTGACTTAGGGACAGAAAACACACACACAGTTCAGATGCAAACGTTTTTCCATCGAAATGATCATAGGAATACATTCATATATGGTACTAGCCAACACAACCAGCGTATAGAAAGTTGGTGGAGTGTACTTAGAAGAGAAAATACGGATTTCTGGATCTCACTGTTTTAAACTTTCAAGAAGGATGGATTTTATACCGGGGATTTCATCGACAAAAATCTTCTCCAGTTTTGTTTCATGAAACTTTTGAAGGTATGATAAACATATACTATGTACCATTACTATCTTTAATGTTCTATTTGCTGTTCAATGGACAACTAACCATTACATATCCTACTGAGTACATGTATTATTACACAAAATGGAAAATGTATCTATGAATGTAATTTTTCAATCCGTTTAAATAACCGAAATTGATTGTCTCTAAAATTTAAAAATGTTATAATTAGATTTGTAATTTTTTATTTTATAGAGGGAATTCCAGAATGTCGTAGATACTTGGAACCATCACAAAATCCGACCGTGTAAGTACGAAGGGACTGTACATGGCCGTGCAGTAATACTCTACAACTGTCCGAGAAATAAAGACACCCTTAATTTCCTATGTCCTGTTCGACCAGAGGATGTTGAGGCTTGTCTGGAGGAATGTTTATTTCCTGAAGATATTTGTGACAAAATGTTTTTGATCTCGCTTGTATTGTTATGAGAGAAAATCATTTGGATAAACCAGAAGATCCATATGCTGCTACCAACTTGTATATTGAGCTGCGAAACATATTCCGCATCATAATGGAGCCATGATTACTACAATACACTGAACAATAATTAAAAACTTTTAATTTGTTTTCTCCAAATTATTTCGAGATGAATTAGGCGGGTTTATTTGTTATTGTCATATAAGGATAAGTATCATAAAACCACGAGTTTCCTATTTCTTGCCCTTCAAATTGAAAAGGTATATGACGTAGATAAGCTGGTTCTCGGCTGACAACCACACTTCCATCGTCATAGAATACAAGCCAACACCAGTTTATGACGTAGACTGCTCCTTGTGATCTGGATAACACATACTTACCGCGCCCGAGGCATAACAATTTGTTATCGCCGTTATCCCATGATTAATGGTGTCCCATCGTTGAAAGCAAAATTCTGATCTTTTTATGGTAGTGATATTTGAATTAATTGAAGGAATTTGATACACAATTTTAGAGTGTCATGCTAGTTTTCCATTATCAATTTTTTTATTTTGATGGGGTTCAACATAACTTTCCATAATTTGTTTGGTTATTTCATGACGGTTAGTTTTATTGGTCAGAAACCCCGAGTACCCGGAGGAAACCGCCGACCTGCGGTAAGCAACTGACATAAATCATCACATAACCACATGAAAACCTAATCTACATTTTTGAGCCTGCCAAAACTCCGTCTGGAACACCTAGAAATGATAGGTTAGTGCTTATATACACTCTTTCTACTTAGACGTGACAGTTAGAGCCGGAACCCGTTCTAGCTATTCTGACCCAAAAGAATTTCTAAGCTTATGCCATCACTTTGTGTCCGTCCGTTAAACTTTTTAAATTTTAATTTCTCCTCTGAAACTACTCACCATTAATCTCTACAAAGTTCCCTCATTTTTCAAACATGACTCCATGACCAATACTTGTTTCTGATTGGTCGGAATTCTTTCCGCAAGGAATGTTTACAGACTTATCATTGCGAAAT